GAGAAACAAGGGGTTGGTCGGACTTTCCTTAATATTAGTTGCTTCTGTTGGTTGGTGAACATCCGTGTCGGATACCTCTTCCTTCGGGTAAAGGGTCGTTGCCACATAGAGCTCTATCTTCCTTGCTGTTTCGCTCGTCAGCTCGGTTATGACCAACTATATACTGGTACCCCGAACCGAGGCTTGAGGACTTAAGGAGGCCTTATTGACGGCGCCCAAGCATTGCTCTAGACTATGACGGGTTATACCCGTGCCTATTTCGCTCTTCCTTCATCCAAACGCAAACCATTGCTTACCTTTCTTAGTTGAAAATAGCTCATTTCTGCCAACGAGCTTCTGGATGTGAAGGGCCTCTCAGAGTTGGTTGCTGAACACTAGGTTCAGACTACTATCAAAGCTGCTCAGCTGAGCTTTTAAAGAAGTGGGGGAAGAAACCTGTCAAACCCTCCTGTTGGAGCAAAGAAGGATGGAGGATGATGAGGAGCTCCTTCCTATTGATAATGAGGATGAGATTTCTGAAGAATAAATGAGGGACATGGACACTGACTTCGGAGTTGGTGGGGAAGAACCTGAGACAGGTCTGTCAGACTCTTTCTTTTTGGAAATAATGGATCTGGCGTTTTTTCGTTGGTCTCAACACTTTACTTTTTCTAGATCTCAACCGGCTCCTTAGAAACCGGAACGAAAGGTTTTATTTACTTATCTTAACAAGATGAATCTTGCCACTCCAAGTAGGATGATTGATGAGCATGAGCCCCTTATTTTCCGTTACGCGAGATCATGATCCACCGCCGAGGCTTCTGCACAGGTCGAGATGCGTACTAAATCTTCTCATGAGCGACTTGGTTGTCCTATGGAGGTTTGTCCTCCAAAGCGGAAGAAGACCGCTCATAATTCGTATATTGGGCGGCGCACCCACGAAGCGGAGTTATGTGGTAACATAACTACTGGTGGGGAAGAAGGTAATATTCCACTATTTACATAACTTTTAAATAGTGCTCTTCTAGATTCCCTTAACCTGATCATGTTCCGTGTTTCAGGAAGTCATGGAGGAGGCGAACTTCCGTACGACTTTGTGTTCTCCGATCCTGGCCATTTAGGTAGCTCGAGCTTTGTGCAGCAAATGTGTGATGCTATCAGTGATGAGCACACGTATGTTAGGGCAAACAGAGATGCTGGCTAGGATGACAATGTTGAGCCGAGGATCCTACGTCTAGGTATATCTAACATCGGTAATACACCATTCGGGTGGCAGTTAAAGGAGTTAGGCAATTCGGAATTCGTTCCCCCTTTAATCATTTCCGCGCTTCATTCTCTTTTAAACAAATTGAAAAACACGGGCACGAATATCGGGGTAGAAGAGCCTCCTGCCACTACCACAAGTGAATCCGAACTTCTCTATTCTGAATTTTAGCTTTTTTTTTATATCCAACACTTAAACTCTCGTATAGATACCGCACTGGAGAGGCCGATTGATGATGATACTTTTCATGATATGGATCTTGGGGGATTTAATGAACACATGTACCTCTCAGCAACGAGCTTCTCGGGATCCGACACTAGCTAGGTTGCTCGTTGAGATGTTGGTAGAGCAGGCTACCAGAGAGGCTACAGGACTATTCGC